GAGATGCGGACGGCGGCGGCGGCGACGGCGAGGCGGAGGGCGGCGGCGGCGACGGCGACGCGGGGGAGGCGGCGGCGACGGAGATGCGGACGGCGGCGGCGGCGGCGAGGGCGAGGCCGACGGAGGCGGCGGCGACGGCGACGCGGATGGCGGCGGCGGCGACGGCGAGGCCGACGGAGGCGGCGGGGACGGCGACGCGGAGGGAGGCGGTGGCGACGGCGACGCGGAAGGAGGTGGCGGGGAGGGAGAGGCGGAGGGTGGCGGCGGCGACGGCGACGCGGACGGAGGCGGCGGCGACGGCGACGCGGATGGCGGCGGCGGCGACGGCGAGGCCGACGGAGGCGGCGGGGACGGCGACGCGGAGGGAGGCGGTGGCGACGGCGACGCGGAAGGAGGTGGACCATTGCGATTTCCTGCGAAGACGTAGAACTTGCACACCGTCAGCCCCGCCGCAGACGGCCGGTTGAGGTAGATGTAGCGCCCCAACGCGTTGATCTCCACCTCCAACATCACGTTCGACAACACGCTCACGTCTGACTTCACCAGCGCGTTGCCCGTGTACGTCTCCGCCGTCGAGCCGAGATAGATGTCGACGTCCGTCAGCCGCTCCGCGCAGCAGTCGTTGCGGTTCTGCAGCCGCACGTAGCGCACATACACCTCGCTCCCGAGGTCGACGCCCCACCATTGGCTTGTGTAGTGGCCGCACTCGGCCCACGGCCGTCCCGTCGTGCTGTCGGCGTATGACAGGTCGCTCACGGGCGCCTGCTTGTCGAAGGAGCTCGAGTCCTGGTACGTGGTGGCGGCGCGGAGGTCGAGCAGCTGCACGTCAGGCGGCGGCGGCGACGGCGAGGCGGACGGCGGCGGCGGAGAGGGCGAGGCGGACGGCGGCGGCGCAGGCAGGGCGGAGGGAGGCGGCGGCAGAGGCGGCGGCGGCGACGGCGACGCGGACGGCGGCGGGGAGGGAGAGGCGGAGGGAGGCGGCGGCGACGGCGACGCGGAGGGCGGCGGCGGCGACGGCGAGGCCGACGGAGGCGGCGGGGACGGCGACGCGGAGGGAGGTGGACCATTGCGATTTCCTGCGAAGACGTAGAACTTGCACACCGTCAGCCCCGCCGCAGACGGCCGGTTGAGGTAGATGTAGCGCCCCAACGCGTTGATCTCCACCTCCAACATCACGTTCGACAACACGCTCACGTCTGACTTCACCAGCGCGTTGCCCGTGTACGTCTCCGCCGTCGAGCCGAGATAGATGTCGACGTCCGTCAGCCGCTCCGCGCAGCAGTCGTTGCGGTTCTGCAGCCGCACGTAGCGCACATACACCTCGCTCCCGAGGTCGACGCCCCACCATTGGCTTGTGTAGTGGCCGCACTCGGCCCACGGCCGTCCCGTCGTGCTGTCGGCGTATGACA